AGCGGGATGCCCAGCCTGGCCCACGCCAGGCTGCCTGCTGCCCGGTCCTGACTCCTGTTCCTCTCTTTTGGGACACACTAGCATTTTTTTCCTTTGCCATTTTGATATTTGGGGCTTTTTTTTTTTTTTTGTCAAGGAGCAGTTGAAGAATTAAAAAAAAAAAACAATTAAAAAAATCAGCATTAGTTGACAGCAAGCAGTCAGGGCTCCAGAGACAGCCCTGCAGCCAGGAAGAGCTGAAGAGGTTTTCGGAAAGACAGCTACCTGCCTTGGATAAAAATATATTAAAAAAAAAAAAAAAGCTGCAAGGAAGAAGCAGCAGATTGTTCCAAAAGCTGCACGGGAGTTACAGAAGCCGATTCCTGCACATGCTGGCCAGCCTCCATCCACTGACTGGCCGCAGGGGAAGGTGATGCTTTGGGGACATATAGGATAGTCTGCATTCCACCATTGCAGGGGGCTTGTGGGGGTGCAGGATGGGGATGAGCTCCCCGTGACAGTTCCATAGGAGCATTTTGGCCACGTGTGGTCAACCGTGCCCCCGGCGGCACCCCAGCTTAGGGCTTCGGTCAGCGGTGGAAATCGAGGGTGGCTGGAAAGAGTATAGATTAGTTGCATTTATACAAATACATACATATAAAAAGATATGTGTATTAAAAACTCCCAGCTCTTTGCATTCAGGAAAAAATAATTCCGTTTATTTCCCTGGACTGTGAGCTCTTCTAGGATGAGGTGTCATATTTTTCCACTGTGTAGTCTGGATGGGCAGAAGCTGATGCTTAAGCCTTCTTGTTACAGTATTTAACAGTATCCCAGCTTGAATATTCTGCTCATCTCCTCTAGGTAAGCAAAAACATGGCAAAGGGATTTTACAGGACTGCACTGGGCTTTGGTGACTGCAGCCCTAGCTGTGTGCTTACAGGGGCTGCTGGTACCCCAAGCCTGCTGCACACCCCGACACAGCTTGTTCCCAGCGCTCTGCCCCAGCTACACCTGCAGTGCCTTCCAGGCAAGAGCAGGGAGGCAGGGACAGGTGACCGCACAAGAAACAGGGACTCTGACCCCTCTTGCTGAAGGATGGAAGGTGATGAGGGTACCAGCGTGCCACTACAGCAAAAAAGCTGCTTCCTTAAAGCAAACCGATTTGGTGTTTTCAGCTTAAAAATAACAGAATCCTTCTTATTTGATAGCAAGAACCAGATGCATTTTCCAACCTTTCTATTTTTGTAAGCGTTTTATTCCTTACCTTCCCTGACATTACTATTTTGGCAGCAAAAATGTCTCATGGCAGTTGCCTGCTTAAAGTAATACGCTGATCCGTGTTTCTTTATAAATAGACACAGTGGCAACTTTATCCGAAGATGAAGCTCACGACAAGGCTCCCCTCCTGCACGCCAAGCTCTGCGTTTCATTTCCCTGCTTTCTTAGACCTCCAGTAACGCGTACAGGAGCCTGTGAAGCTGTAAGGGAAAGGCACAGGGAAGAATTTAACAAGCAAGGCTGCACCCTGCTTAAAATTTGCACCCCAGCTCTGCCATGCTAATGATGGAGGCAATTTTGGTTCCTTTCAGTGTCTGCAGAGGAAAGAATGAAGCATCATCATTTGAAGGGATAAAAAAACCCCACCAGTCAATGCCCGAGCATTACGCACACATACTTGCTCTGTATGAAACCACACAAACATTTATTTCTATGGTTTATCTATTTATAAAAGCTGAAATCGGTTCCCTCGCACCTCCTCTGCGTGATCCCACGAGCGAAACGCGTTTCGGTCTCTGAGGCTACGCCAACGCCCCGCCGGCTCGGCAGGCCCTGGCATCGCCCGGGTCAGCGGGTGAGCAGCGGGAAGCTCCAGCACACAACAGGCAGAAGACTTCTCGTGGCGTTTCCTCCGCAGTGATTCCCAAGGTACATGCTACTCTCTTCTGAAGGATCTCTGCTTGCGCATACTAGGTGTTTGATACACAGCTACTTACAGAAAAGGCAAATTATAGCGTCCTATCTTTTCAAATTACCAAAAAAGCCAGGCGCGCACAAGTGTTTAAAAGAGGGTGCAGTGCATTATTATTCTTGGCTGCGTTATTAGTCATTCACTTGCAGTGCAGAAGTTTGAAGAACACAATTAGGTGTTCTCCAGGTAACGGTGCTTGAATTTACTTTCATCAGATGGAACGGCGTCTGATGAACGTCCCTCGCCACATCCAGATTGGAAAGCCAAAGGCAGATTTCTTAAAAAAAAAAATCTCCCTTTCATTAAATTTTCACAGAAATATATAATATATATAATATATATATATAATTTTACTAATACTACACATTTACTTAAGTTACAGATTAGCCTGTATTTCTTTTAACTACTTCACACAACAAACAGAAACAAACAACAAAAAAAAAACCTGTAGCCCAAACAGGAGCCGAAAATAACAGTGTAAAAATTCCAAACATGTGACAAAAACATACTTACATTAAATATCATCAAGAATTTCAATACCAGAAGTAGAATTCCATTTAGCACTTGCATTCTGGCAAGCTCTAAGCCTTACTTGAATGACTTTTGGAAGAAGCTTGTATTGTTTCTGCTCATCAAAGGCAACAGTGTTGTGATTTGGTTCACAGGAGACCATTTTATTGCCAACTTGAAGCGTTCCAAAACCACGCCACCTTTTCTGTTTGGTGGTTGTTTTTTTTTTTCCTTCCCCCCCTCCAAACTAGGCAAGAGTTAAAAAAAGGTGTAATTACAATTTCAATAGTGATTTCTTTTAACTTCTCAAGCATATCTCATCAACAGGATATACAGTACAGTTCAGAAGAGTAAACATTTTTAAAAGTAAGCAAACGACTTTTTCAACCAACATACACAATTTCTTGCTGTATTTATGCTGAACTCTTCTTTTAACATGGACAAGTTATGAAGTTAGTTTTCTTCTTCAGTACAACATGGACACAGGACTAGTACAATCCGGGCTGGTTTTGTTGTTGTTGAAGTTAAGGACAACTCTAGTGTGGAAGCCATGGTCCTGCTATCCATCTCCCTTCATCATCTCGCATAGCGCTTAATGTAATCTTCAACTTTATTCCGAAAGTCCTCCTAGAGGAAAGCACAGTCAGAATTACCCCAAGCATGTCAGAGAGGGACTCACGTAGGACTTGCAGCGGTGGTGGATTCCCCCATTAGCACCGGTAGGGTCAAATTTCCATCAGGTGGAAGGCCCGCCGCTCTCCCCGAGACCCAGTACACGTTTCTGTCGTGGCATATGAGAACCAAGGTGACCGCTCGAGTCCGTGCAAGCAGATGTCCGCGCTCCGCCGGGGGTCTCCTCTGGGGACTGAGCTGAACAAAGAGTTTGCCATCACCAGCTACCAACATAGACCACAAACAGCCTGTCTCACCGGTTGCTGGTGCCAGGAGACAGGGTCCCAGCGAGCAGTAGGTACCACACAGCAAAGATCTGGCCATGGCTTTAGAGAAGGAAGGGAAGCTGTTCTTTTGGGTAAAAGAGGCAAGGCTACAGCAGGAACTCTTACAAAGCTGCATGCCTGAAGGTAGCTCTGTCCCAAATACTCATTCCGTCCTCCCCTGGTAAGTGCACAATATCGCAGGTAATCAATCACTGCTTCCTGCCCCCCCCCCCTTTATTATAGCCTAGAGAATTAAAAATTCATCAGCCAAGTCTGTTAAAGTGGTTCAGCGGAAACGTGCTTACACCTCTAGCCCTCCACAGAAAATGTAACGGCACTATTATATAACCTCTGTATCTATGGAAAAGCACAGATTTCTGGTAGTTTATCTTTATAAAGCACAGAGATGCTGAGCGAGAGAAATTCTGACATACTTTCCTCATTTGATCCTTGTCCAAGCCCGGATGTCAGACAGATGCTACATTCCTGTAATGTTATTCTGAGCCTGAACCTTGCCTCAGACACTTACAGCCTGTTATTAAATATGTACAACACAAACACACCAACTGGCCTGCGCTCCAGATTCACGTGGGGGGGTTCAGAGCAAAGTGCTGCTTGCTTGATTTCCACCTCCCAGTTTTGTCTGCTGGTTAGAATATAAAGCTAGAAAACCTGGGAAATTAATGTACTCATCTCTATGTTAAAAAATAAAAGAAAAAGAAAGAAAACAGCGCACCCAAGAGATGAAGAGGTTTTCAATGCAGTGTCCTGGTGCGCTGGAGCTGCCTGAAGAGCAGGGGCCATGGAAGCACTGAAATCCTCTCCCCACCAAGTCAAGGCTCTATTTTCACTAGGAGGGGCATAAAGTCTCACTGCCAGGACCTGAGGGGTCGCAGCGAGGCACGGTCCTGCTCTAAGCAACGTAACTCGTCAGCTCCAGGTTTCCCGATGCATAAAATGACGCCCTTCGAAGGCACACTGAGCGTTCTGGTACAGTCCACTCAGCAACGAGCTGAATAAAATGCAGTTTACAGACACAGCAGCAGTAGTTCCTGAGTTTAATGCCCCCTGTAAATACTGGCCATTCATTATTCAAGGACTTTAACATTGCGTCTTTTTTACTTTTTTGATAACAGTAGATTGAGCACTGCACTATATGCACCACGACTTTGTACTAATACTGCTAAGAAGGTCTGAAAAGAAGCGAGTAGTCGCTTTTAACTGTGAAGCTTGTTTTCAAAACAGGGAGAGAGCTACCTTCCCTTGCAGGGGCATGCAGTAACCCATTCTGAAATTTGAAAGATATGGTAAGATACTTAAAATGGAACTGGAAATCGCCAAAGCTAAAATGTCATCGTCGTGCCCCGCCCCGATAACTTTGCCTATTTATATCTTGTCTTCATCAGCTGTGTTCCCCCCTTTTTAAAAAATTTTAATTTCCCCTCATGTCTTGATCAGCTACGCACTGCCAGTTTGACTTAGCAATACAGTGACACTAAAACATTTGCTGGACATCACATCACACCAGAATAAAGCAGTAATTTAGCCTTTTTGCTAGAGCCAGCCTTGGAATGCAGCAGTATTTCCTTGGCCCCAGCACCATGGTTCAAACACCTCCTGATCAGCTCCCTTTTATGGTGGCTTGGTTTTCTGCTGGTGAGTTTTTCTACCGGCAAAAGGATAAAGGTTATCTCATGGTTAAAGTCCAAAATCAAAGGATCAAAGAATGATCCATCAGAAACATTGCCTGTGATTTCATTTTCCAACTGGTAAAGTGCATCAGAGAGATGTCCATGAGCTATATGCAAAGGGCTCTGAATCTCAAAGAAGTCTGAAACACGGGTTAAGGCCAAAAATATCACAGGCATGGAAACAAAAGTATAAACGCACACTTTAGGGAAAAAAACACCCACCGCTAATGGCTCCTCTCAAGAGAGGTACAGATCTGTGCTTTGGAAGAAATAAAAGCTGAGAGCATAAATTACAAGCATCCATTACAGGAAATCACTGTAAGATGCTTGACACCTCAGCATCGGGCAGTAGGAGCCCAGGTGCAGAGAGAAACCAACTCTTTAGGGCTGCAGAAATCCCTTTCCTCCTTAGAGGCCTATGAGACTGGCTGCCTGCACTTCTTGGAGGAGCAGCTATTCTGGCACAGCATGGCACCTGCTAACGGCAATATTCTGCGTAGTGACTTAACTCTGCTGCAAGCACACACGTTTCCATACTCGTACAACCGTACGCCAAGCGTGATGAGAAACTAATGCTACAGAGCTAATGCTGTCTTCATTTTAAATAAGATTTCAGATACCACGCAACTTCAATCCTTTGACGACAGTTCCGATAGCCAAGTGCCACGTTAAAGTGTTTTTGAGTAACTACTTATAAATAACACATCTATTAGAGTGGTTTCCAGCTCTCAGGCTGCCTCAGGCAAGAAGAATCTCTAGGTACCTCGAGTCTGTTAAAACAGCACAGAAACAAAAGAAAAGTGACATTTTGGATTTGTTTTCAGTGCTGATACATTGTGGACTACGTTGATGCAAACTAGAATAATTACTTATAACGGCAAACGATGCTGGAAACCTCTCATTTACTGGTTACGGTGGTTGTTCTCGGTATTATGGACCCATCGCTCGCAGCAGCAACACTCGCTGTCAACCTGTCCTTGTGCAGTCACAGCACCAAAGCACGTCAGTCACAACACTGCACCTGATAAATGAAGCCTTTTGGACTCATGGTGCTACTGGGGTATAGAGCTAAAGAAAAGGCTGCTAGCTACAAAAAGGCAAAGACCTACCTTGGCAATATCATTGATCTTTTAGACTAACCAAAACAGCGACACTTCCTAGTAGTTTTTTGTTTGTTTTACAACCATCCAGGGTCGCTAAGACTCTTAGTTACAATCCACAATGTAGTGGAAAGCGAATGAATTAACTGAGGGCTTGATTGCATGTTATTTCCTACGCTTGTGTTTCTCTGAGAGATAGGTCACTAAAAGAAATTGGGCACAAAGCTAAGAAATACCACTGGACATGCAATAGGGCCAACTGCATCTTCACTGTATCTATAAAATCTAAGAGCAGTGCAGTACAGACAGCTCGGAGCATCCTCCAGTTTTTCACCCCTAACTTTACGAGGTTTTCAAATGGGAAGATGGGCTCTTGGCACTGACTTAGAAGCAGGACCTCAGCGAAGAAGGAAGGCTCCAGAAATCCATGCCGTCACTTAGGCTGACTCGCCAGATGAAGGAACTGACAGCGTTGGCAAGATTATGTTAACACAGTAACACAGCATGTGAACCTGGCTGCTGAACAGGACGTTCTCATCCCGTAGCTGTAATATTCCATCTTCGCATGCCATACGGCTTAACAGTTCCTGATTAACGGGGGGCACTTTTCTACCTGCACATCTGTTTTCGTGTGGTGCTGAATAATCAGAAGCAAAAAAATTAAATCAGAGCAGCACATATTCTGCATTATAAAGAGGCACATGTAAAATCCTGCTAGGAATGCTAAGGGAAAGAAGAGGGACTTGTTTCATGGGAAGTGAATCTGGAGATGCGCTGTTCACCTGACACATGGCTGTTGCGTGTGCAAGCACCCATCGCCATGCAGTACATACCTGTCCTGATACTCCCTGCGACATAAAGCAGTGCATTTTGCCCTCTCTTAGCTTCCCTTCAAGGACAGATCCTAAGCGTACGACTACTAGAAAGATGGGCCAGAAAGCAAGTTGTGCAAAACACCTACTCTTATTAAAAAAACAAAGCCTACCCACTTGAAGGGAGCCTCCTTCTCCGATTATTTCTGCAGGAGACTCCAAAGAACTGTACCCACCCCCAAGTCTTCATTAGTGCCCTGAGCCCCATCCATCCTTTGATGCCAAGACAGACACCGATGAGAAAAAGCATACCACCTCCCGCGGTCTTGATGCTGAGAGGCAGAAGAATCAGGAGGTTTGCTGCTGGAAATCCCCCACCATCAGAGCAGTTCACATCAATGACCATTTATCCTCCTGCCACAAGGCTCATCTCGCTGATGGCGGTGCTTGCTTTGCCCAGCGGGGCTCCTGCCACGTCCCTCTGGGCGCCGGCCACGTCCCACTGCTAGCTGGGTCGGAGGCACAGCTGCCTGCCTCTACACTGAAGGACTTGCCCACGTCTCGGAGTTGTCAGGCTAAAGACTGATGAAGGGGGAGAGGGCTGAGTGTTACTGTGACACTTTACTACAGAAGCACTGACGCTATAACGCATGAAACTTCATCCGAAACGACTCAGCCAGCTATGAAGCCCTGACAGGCCATCAGTGAGCGCTGGAAATACCACCTTTTCCAAGGGGAAATCTAATTTTAAACTACCATCGTTTATCAACCTCACTGTACAGTCTTTCCTTCACAAATTTCAACATAAAAGATATAGAGTAAGAGGCAGAGAAAACTGCCCTTGGGTTCTCTGGAGATGTGCTGGGTGGTGGGGAGGAGTGAGGCTTGGGTTTCTATCTGGGAGCAGTACCTGCCACCTTGCCTTGTTCAGGGCAGAGTGCCTGGTGCTAAGCCAGGAGACAGACTTCCTCGGTGCAAACCAAGTCACGAGATTCAGGGACCTAAATTAGGCAGAATTTGGCAGACCTTGTAGGCAGAAGTCGAAGCTCAGACAATGCCAGTATCCCCTTTGCACAACGGCCATCC